TGAACATACAGGGAAAGGCGCCATTGGATATATTTGTGCAATCATTGGTGTTGTAGTGGATGTGAGATTCGAAGATGGAGTGCCTCCGATCCTTACCGCGCTTGAGGTTCTTGAAGGCTCGCAACGGATTGTGTTGGAGGTTGCTCAACATTTAGGTCAGGGTGTTGTTAGAACTATTGCTAGGCTACCGAAGGTGTTGTTAGAGGATGGCGTGTGCTCAATACCGGCTCTCCCATCAGTGTAAATTCCCAATCACTTGGTTCTATTTATTGCTATTTCAGAGATTTCAGAGATTGAAGAAGTGTAATTATTTGTCACTAACATTTACTTTATTCTTGTTTTCTGATTAGATTCCCGTTGGCAGGGCCACCCTTGGACGCATCATGAATGTTATCGGAGAACCTATCGACCATAAAGGCAAATTCAGTAAGCAACTTCTAAATCTTTCATAAGTCTGAAGTTTTCTATGGCGTAGTTTCTTTGGAGGACCCGTATGCAGTTACTTGATTTGCTTTATATTTAATCAATCTTGCGGCTGTACTACACTTTCAGTAACCAGAAATATAACATTAAGTCTGGTAGTGATTTATTTTTCCTAGCCCGTTGAGTAGTTTATTTTGCCATTTGCAAATTCTAGCAATTTGTGCTGATAGGAAATCTTGGATATGCAGTGGTGAAAGTGGAAGTTTTGAAGGTACTAGTGAAGGAAGTGATGCAAATCCTTAGAATGTAAGTTTTGTGATGGTCATTTACATATTTTCTATAATTAATAACAAGTACTATGATAAAAATATAAACTAATTCATCTCTTGAAAGGTAAACTTGTAAGAACAATTTCAATTGTTAACAAATTTAATACTACCACCAACTCTCTTAGTTTCTGTGATTTAGTCAACAGAGTCCTACATTTAGGAATGTAGATAGTATTTCCTAATGTCTTTCTGTTTTGATAGGGCTCTCAATTGAAATCTGGAGACAGGCAGGATTCTTTCGAAGGTTTGGCATTGTTACTTTCTGTTGTTCCAATATAGTTTCTAATTTTTACTATCTAATTCTATATGCAGTGCAAACTCATGTTATATGCGTGTTAAAGGCTGAAGTGTAACTTTTTCTATTGCATTACAGGTAAACCATCTCAAAATGGAAGTTCAGCGCATACTTCTCAAAATGGGGGACTCAATACACCTCATACGCTGGTTAATCAAACTCTATCTATCATGCCTATCACCGCGACTGGTACTCTTGGAGCTGTTACTGGTCCTGCAACAAATCTAAATATAGGAATGGATTATTGGGGCACGCCAGCTCCATCCAATATTCCTGCTCTTCGTGGAAAGGTTCTGGCTACTGCAGTTGCGGGAGGGATAGTTACTGGTGGATCACGGGATAGTGTTCAATCACAACTTTGGCTACAGGTTAATTTGTTACAACAGACCAATGATTTTTGCACCTCTTATATAAATATTTATATTTTTTCTGGTTAACTTTTAGGATGAAAGAGAGCTTAAAAGGCAAAGGCGGAAGCAGTCTAATAGGGAATCTGCTCGGAGATCCAGGCTGCGCAAACAGGTCATTTAGAGTTCCTTGTAGCCTTTATTTCATTCAGTGGTTGGCCACTCATAATTGTCACGCTTCTGATTCCTGTTTGCATGTGGCCTTTTCAGGATGAGTGCAACAAATTAGCTCAGCATGCTGATGTTTTGAAAGAAGAAAATGCTTCCCTCCGATTAGAAATAAGTCGCATTAGAAGCGAGTATGATCAGCTACTTTCCGAGAACGCAGCTTTCAAGGTGATGTTAAATATCTCAATCACAATCGTCATATACTTAACATTAATCAATAATTACCTTGGAAGTGTAATTTCTTTACACCGATAAAAACTTGTAAAATATTTATATGACCGCATACCATTATGTCTGACTAACATAAAGATATGATCTACGACAGAGACTTGAGGAAAAACCCAGTAAAGATCAAAACATTGGTAGCGACACTCAACAGAGTGGACAGACAGAGGATGTGCAAGCTGGTCATTAGGATCATACGCTGCATTTCGGGAAGATAACCTAACTCAATAGCAAGAGTGCGGTCTGATCTTGTTTCGGATATAGCTTGTAGCTCAAAGTGTATTACAATTGCTGACCTTTTATAGTCTTAAAAAATTTGTTTTATGATCCCTCATTCTTCTTAATTTGGTTTTTACTTTTAACCCATTTAAATAACATGGATAATATGTAGTGTGTGAATTGTATCTTATCATCAGTTTCAAAGTTAGTTAGTGTCTTAGTAATATAGTGAATGAAATTGGGTGTTGTCCATTATAGTATATGATTTCCCGTATAAAATAATTTATCAGGAAAATAATGAACAGATGGAAGAATAATGAAAAGAAGGAATATCTCTGAATTGTGTTTCTTCTTTGTTGTTAAACTTTACTCTTTGTTTTAGATGGGTATGTTGCCAATTTACAATTACTAGTCTCATCATGCTGAATTCTGCCAACACCAATGGTTCCAACTTCGTCTGCCGCATTATTTGGCAGTGCCACCACCGGATACACTTCAATAAGCCAAAAAGGTTTGGTTTTATTGTTTTAAGGAATCTGTTTTCCTTTTAAATTTCTGTGGCACACTAGAGCTTCAATTGGTTGTGTTTTTTTAAGTCCAGAATAATAAACCTATGCTTGTATTAATCAGTTCAAAAAAGATCCTCATGTGTTTGTCAAGGCTGACAAGTATACTGTTAATACTATGTTTTTTAGTAATAGTCCCAACATGCACTAACTCTGCTTTGATTAATGATATGCAAATTCTCTTCTGTAAAAATACAGAGATATGATAAGTTAAGTTACTCTTTATCCAACCTGTTTTGAATAGGTACATCCAACTTTTTATATTTAAAGAATGAAAAAAATCATTGTGAACATATCTAGATAAGAACATTATCATATAATATTATATATCATATAGAACAAATGAAGAGAATCTTAGAGTAAGATAGTTCACATGGCAGCAGTAGCATTACAGATGGTACAACCACACCTAACTTACTTCCAATTGATGAATGAAAACAGAAATGGTGGACATTGAAGAGGCCAAACATCATTATGGTTTCTGTCATGCTTGTTGGGATCACATTGGTGAGCTGGAATTAGGTGGCACTTCTCTTGCTAACTCATGGTTTGGTGTCACTGGGGTCGGTGTTACGGTACTTTACAATTAGGGAAGTGATGAGGTACTTGAATTACCTTATTTTCATTGTTACCCATTTGAAGTTGACTTGTTGTTTTTTTTAAATGCAGTACCTTTTATTTTATTGGGAGACTAGAAAAATTGTCCATTTGACACTGGTTAACTTTTAAAATTTTGATTTGTCTATTGATTTGAGATCTGTGTTTTATTATGTTAATCTTTGATTCGTTTTTCGATACTGCGATAAGGTTATCCATATTTACTTGTTTAGATTCTAAGGTTTTTGCAGGATGACATTGCTTTTAGGGCCACCTGGTTCTGGAAAGACCACTTTGCTGTTGGCATTGGCTGGAAGACTTGGAAAAGATTTGAAGGTAAAGAAAATAGTTTAGATTATGGTCGAGATTGGCAACTGTGTCGCGCATTTACTCAGAGATGTTGACTGAACTACTTAGAAGAGAGAAGGAATCAAAGATCGAACCAGATTCTGATATTGATGCCTATATGAAGGTGAGGATTATCCGAGTTTGAAACTTTGTTTTGAATCTTTATGTTTGAAAAACTAGTGAACATGTTGCATTATTATGCAGGAAGTAGCAATAGAAGGCCACCAAAATAGCGTCGTCATTGATTATGTTCTTAAGGTAATAGTCGAGATGCACCAAATATAGTTAACTTGTGAAACAAGAAAAGGTTTTATTTTTTTCCTTTGTCAAATCTTATAGATTTTAGGACTTGAAGTTTGTGCCGACGTAATGGTGGGAGACCAAATTATAAGAGGTATATCAGGAGGCGAGAAAAAACGACTCACTACAGGTAAATACTATTTAACAAGAAAAAATACGACAAAGAAACTTAACGCGTTAAATTGAAAATTATAATGAAGTTGATTGAATCGTAATGTTTGGTGAAAGGTGAGATGCTGGTTGGACCTATAAAGATGTTGTTCATGGATAAGATATCAAATGGTTTGGACAGTTCAACAACTTTTCAAATAATCAGCTCGATTAGACAATTGATCCATATACTAAATAGAACTACACTTGTTTCTCTTCTACAGCCAGCGCCAGAAACCTATGAACTATTCGACGATATCGTACTTCTTACAGATGGACAAATTTTTTATCAAGGACCAAGAGAAAATGTACTCGAGTTTTTTGAATCAACCGGTTTCAAGTGTCCTGAAAGAAAAGGCGTCGCTGATTTCTTACAAGAAGTATGATTTTCATTCATTATAAGTCCTCCTTTCAAAAACAATGTTTCTGATTTTTTATTTATTTATGTTTAGTTAACTTTGTTCTAATGTTATGCAATAGGTAACTCCAAGAAAAGACCAATGGCAATATTGGATGCGTAAAGACGAACCTTACAACTTTGTCACTGTCAAGGATTTTGTTCAAGCCTTCAAATCATTTCACGTCGGCCAAAAACTTGGACAAGATCTGGCGGATCCATTTGACAAGTCGAAGTTTCATTCAAATGTCTTGATCACAAAGAAATATGGTATTAACAAGAAGGAGCTCCTAAAGGCTTGTGCTAGCATAGAATATTTTCTTATGAAGCGAAATTCATTTGTCTACATATTCAAAGCCACCCAAGTGAGTGAAATTCAAACACTAATACCATTTATATAATCTTTTTTCAAACCATAAAAACCGAAATTGTTAAGCGATTCTTTTTCATATTTCTCAGCTTACTTATTTAGCTACCTTAACGACGACGTCATTTCTATGAATCAAGGTGAAGCACTCTACCGTTGAGGACGCAGAAACTTAAATGGGAGCACTATTCTTCACAGTGACAATAGCAATGTTCAATGGAATATCAAAGCTGAATATGACAATCATGAAGCTTCCTATCTTTTACAAGCAAAGAGATCTTCTTTTCTATCCTTCTTGGGCTTATTCTCTTCCACCATGGATCCTCAAAATACCAATAACTCTCATAGAAGTTGCCCTTTGGGAATGCATTTCTTACTATGCCATTGGATATGAGCCAAACATTGGAAGGCAAGAAGAAACTAAACCAAATTTCCTTAGCTAATAACCAATTAATCACTCATTTTTCGAGCCTAATGAGAAATCGTATTGACAGATTTTTTAAGCAGTACTTGGTAATCCTATGCATTAACTAGATGGCATCTGCGCTATTTCAGTGTATGGAAACATTAGGAAGGGATATCATAGTGGGAAACACATTCGGAGCATTTTCACTACTTGCAGTTACTGTTTTAGGAGGTTTTGTTATTTCAAGAGGTAAGAAAATTGTAATGTAACTCCGAACTCGACTAATGTAATGAAATTTTCGGATGATAACATTGTTTTTTTGTATTAGAGGATGTGCACGATTGGTTTCTTTGGGGCTATTGGTCGTCGCCATTGATGTATGGACAGAATGCCATAGCTGTGAATGAGTTTCTTGGACATAGTTGGAGAAAGGTAATGAATCAAATGGTTCAGAAATCATATGATAGGTGATTCAATGAGAATTTTCTTGAATATTGCAGGTTATTCCTAGTTCAAGCGAAACATTAGGAGTATTGATACTAAAATCTCGCGGATTTTTCCCACAAGCTTATTGGTATTGGATTGGATTTAGAGCATTGATTGGTTATGTTTTGCTATTTAACTTTTTCTTCGCCTTGGCTTTGCATTATCTTAATCGTAAGTACATATTTGTCTCTAATTTGTGCTGTGAATTTTACTCAGAACCTCTCTCCGGACGATATAATTTTGTATCATTTATGCTTCCTTTGCAGCATTCAGAAAGGATCAAGCAGGTTTGTCCCAAGAGAAATTGCAAGAGAGAAATGCTTCAACAATTGATTTTGATGATAAATTCGATACAAAGATGGACGAAGTAGTTGGTGAAAATAAAGCTAGCAGTATAGGAAGGAAAGGAATGGTTCTTCCTTTTGAACCTCTATCCCTCACTTTTGATGATATCAGATATTCTGTTGACATGCCACAGGTACATTATTCGGTTACTAATATTTATCGCTGCTGCGAGATCATAGTGAGAAGCTTTTTGAGTTTATTATATTGACTATATAGGAAATGAAAAATAGTCAATATAACATAATACAACATAATGTCTTCCTTTGTCAGTTTGAAAGCATGACTACTTCTGTAAGATGCAAAATTTAAGGCAGCACGGGGTTCTGCCTGACACAATAGCAAATATTTATTCATATGCCATAAATGTTTTCCCTGCCTGTAGTAGATGGATATAGATGGCCTTTAGAGGACCTTAAAAATAACTTATTTGAGAACCCGTAGTCACGATCAACAAATCCTTAGTCGCATAAGCATCAATATGTTTCACCTATGAAAAATTAGAAATAACTATGAACAGACAACATAAATAAGACTTACAATTGCTCTAATAAATAAAAATCAAAACTATTCAAATTTCAAAGAAGACAATTTCCTATCTTGTGCTTTGCTGTGACAATCAACAAGAGTCAAAGTTAATAATTGTTTAAGGTAAGATTGTATCTACCACGCCCTCTATTTACACACGGTCAAATATATGTTGTTGTATTCAGAATAAAAAAGAGGTTGAAAATGATTTTGGGTCACTGTTAGGCCAACTAAAAATTTCCCCTACAACTGAAAATAAGCATCTCACTATTAGGCCAACTGTTATTTTTCATTGCAGGACTCTTTTATATATATTTTATGTTATTCAGAGATAGGGCTAAAAAGCTCACGTTATGCATTCTTTGCTTTTGATCAGGTCATTCATTGAAAACTCTCAAGCTGGCATTAAAATATCTCTTCAAGATAATAGTTACTATGGACAGAATGATAGGATAGTGACAGTGACAGGAACTCTTGATGAGTAGATGCATGCTGTTGATTCAGTTGTTTCTAAATTAGCTGAAGATTCTCATTATTCGCAGTCAATGAATGCTCCATTTTCATATTCTGGTCAGTGTCATTTATTTGTCCCATACAACATCTCTTATCCATTTTTGGATTTTGCGGCAGGGTATTGATCCTTGGCTTGGTATAAAATGGTCGGGCCTATTGTGCAAATCTTCTATAACCTAGTGATGCCTATGATTTAAATAAAAAATTTATCATTATGAGATATGTTGTTTTATCTGTCTCAATTTATCTTTCAAACAAGTTAAATAGAAGCATTAACAATTTGTTTTTGCTTACGAGTTGAAATTGTAACAAGGACGTAATTTCTTTTTCAAAGTGTTTTATTTTTTGTCTTAGATATTGTATACATGTTATGTGTGATGTGGTTAAAAAATTAGAGAACGCAAGGTTAATGATTGAAATTTTTTAATGTTTGTGTTTCTTGTGTGAATATCATGAAGATTGATGATTGTTTGTATTCTGAATCCTAAACTGAGTGCAAATTTTTTTTAAAAGTATTTGCAAGTTGCGGCGGTTCAAACCGCCACAATGTACCATAGATTTTTTTCAAAAAAATATTTGCAAGTTGCGACGGTTCAAACCGCCACAATATACCATAATTTTTTTAAAAAAAAATATTTGCAACTTGCGGCGGTTCAAACCGTCACAATATGGAGATTACGACAGTTATCTACCCGTCGTGAAAATAACGACGGTTTTGTAAGATAGTTTTCACAACCGTCGTAATACGGCCTCACGACGCACGTTTCCGTGATAGGATGGAAATCGTCGTAAATTACAAATTGCGACGGTTTTAACCGTCGTAATCTTCCAAAAAAACCGTCGCAATCTGCCAATTTTCTTGTAGTGAATATGCATGGTATACTTTGAATTTCATCTGTGAACTTTGACATGGTTCTTGATGTTGTGACCTCTTGAGTATGTTTATGACGCTTCATTCTACTTGTTTATATGTCTTGTTAGAACCATAACATGCTAGGTTTTGATTGTTGTCTTAGTTGTTACCATTAAACTTGTTTACTTCTCCCCATGAAATCATGAATTCATACTTGAACTGTTGTACTATATCTTGTATTCTTGCTTGATTTATTGTCATCAATACGTGTTTAGTTGGTCTTATGTTTTTACATTTGATCTTATTTGATCCTTATAACATGCTTGTTTTAAGTTGTCACTTGTTTGCATTAATATTGTTTGAATGTTATAGATGAGCTTGTTGTTGTTACACATGTTCTTTACTTACATTGTTGGTTGTTACCTCTTTGCTTTTTGATCTTTGTTAAGATGTTAAATGTTGATCTTGATTATTGTTACATGTTTTTGCTTTATTTCTTCAACTTTTTTAAGTTATTCCCTAGTGATGGAACTTTTTAGTTCACACCAAGTTGTCAGTGTTCTTGTGTCCAAAGGAAAGTCTCTTTATTGACCCTTGGGTCATAGATAGCTCATTACCCTCCCTCTGACTTTGTTAAGTCATGATCGACAAAGCATCTGGGAAGGTTATTCCGAAGGCAGAGTTGAAGACTGATAATGAAGCAGTGACAGATATAGCTAGGGCAAGCAATACGACTCACAGTGATCATACTCCCTATTTCATTGAGGCTCCGCCAGAGGAAACCACTACTATTGTGCCGGTCTTGAATACAAAGACTTCATAAACACATTTTGAAGGACTTTGAGACAATTCATTTTATTTATATGTTTTATTTTCTTTGATTAAGCATAATTAGCATGTGCGAATTTGTTTATTTTGAATAATTAATGCATAATGTTTGTCTTGGAGAAATCCATTCATTTCACTCACAAAATTATTTTTCATAAACTTATAATGCCAACTTTACCCGATCTCTTGCTCTGATAGAGAATTGGGAGGAGGATGATGAACCAAAAACATCAGATCTCTTGTTGTATACTTTCGATTGAAACTTGCTGAGAATGTAAGGCATTGTTTCAAATCTAAAAAACTGGAGATATAAGGACGATAATCCCTCTTTAACCCCTTTGAGACTTGAAGTAGGAGTTTTCTTTTCCAAACAATAAAAAAACCCTTGACTTTAACCTGGAGCAGGGTAGTTTTTCAGTTAAATTGATTGAGCGCTCAGACTCTCAAAAAGGAGGAGCGAACCTTCGAGAATCTATCCTTAACATCTTAGGAGGTTAGAAATACAATGACTATACCTCTACTACCTAAAGAGTGGGGCAACCACAAGCCTTTCAAAAGAGTCACACGACTCGTTCACAAAAATATAGAGCCCGCTAAGTCAGAACCTATGAAGGAGACTTAGGCAAAACTGGGGCATCCCGCTGGACTCCAATGTCAAATAAAAAAAGACGCCGTCCAGGAAAAAGTTAGGGAATAAAAGAAAAATGAGGGTACCATAAAGAACCCCCAGTAAAGAACAAAGTCGTGTGACCAAACACAAAAGAAAATAGGTGAGTGACTGTCATTGTCCAAAGCCTTAATGAGTTCTCAACCATATCAAATCTGATTGAGATATGAGTGCTCGTGTCCAGTTAACTGAATAGGATTGGAGAACATCACAAAGAATGGGTGGGTACAAATAACTTTGAGCCTTTGTCCTTTGTTTCTTAAACCATGAACCAATCCACGATACAACCTTTAAAATACCTAATTGAAGTAGGAATTCTTTTGAAAGCATACTCGATGAGATAATGTTTCCTGACTCCTACGAGCTATGCTCAATTTAACGTTGGCAATACAAATTAAAATTCATATCCTAACTATTGATTTCGGTCACGAGCTATTGCGATATCTTTTTTCAAAACAAAACAAAAAAAGCTTCAAGACAAATATACATGTTGCATTGACAATTTCAGGATTAGCAGTTCATACGTGTTGATTTTTACTTGATATCTTAGAAATTTACACATAAACATTGACAACAAAACTGGAAGGTCCTGCTAAACAGGGGCAGGCGGTTTCCAATTCACTTACTGATGCAAGCCTGGTGTTCTTAAGAGCTATTCTTGTAGACTCAGTCGTAACACGGTTGATCCGTGCCAGTTACGTCAAGATCCGACAAATCTCTCAAAGAGTTTGAAAGCAGTGGGGCAATTGAACCCTATGTTCTCTGTAAAATCCTCTCGAGATGACTTTCTCACAAAGCAGGTACTCTGGGGCATGATATTTTTCAAAATGGCAACTACTAAAAAGTCCATTGAGATCAAATTTAGCTTCGTTTCACAACGTTCTTCAGGCGCCCAATAGATTTTACTCCCG